ATTCCCCCCTGGATATATCTCAATCTAATGAATATTATTATCCCATTCTGCATGGACATCGTTGTTTCCAATGTAAAAAAAACAAAAAAAAACAACATACTTTTGTGATGGATTGCGAGAGTAATCTTAGATCATATACACGATGGAAACTTTCCTCAGAATTTCTAATGTACGTGAATATCGGTTTCCAAGACGTGTTTAAGCAGGTGTAAAGCAAAAAAGTCCATTGGAGTTGCATCGTTGCCCTTGGAAGGTATGTGAACTAATGAAATTGTCGTGATTCCAGTTTCTCATGAAAATAATCATTGATTTCGAAGAGTGACTGCAAACTTGTGAGCCTTCATCAACTTCATAGCCTTATCACTCATTGTTTTGTTACAAATACCAAAAACTATGTCTAACTTTATTGTAATGGATTTTTGGGTTGAAGCGTTCTTTCACAATCAAAACGTTCACTTTAGGCATAAGGGCGTTGCTTCAGGATGAGTTGGGTTGTGGAGTCCGCTGCTGGTTTGTTATGTGATTTTCCACTCTCTCTCTCTTTTGTATATATATATACACATACATAAGCCTATTGTGTGAATATTTCTCTTCGGAAAGGCTTTTTATATTCCCCCAGCCATAATTTTACCGTTGCGACTTCGCATTGTTCAATTGTTAGGAATTCATTATGAAACAATTATACCGCTGCTAAACACGTCACCTGTGGCACTACAACTCCTATCACTAGTGATACACCACTCCTCTAATACCGTATTAATCCGATTATAGGGCGAGCTCGAATATAAGGCGACCCACATTTTCAGATACCATGGGAAAGAAATTGAGTGTCATTACGTCCTTTTTTAGGTCCGCAAAATCAATGTTATAATCAAACAGCCTACAGGTTGATTAGTTACGAAAATTAGCGATGACCTTGAGCGAACATCTGGCGTACATGCGTAGACCAATGCTATCTGTACATTCAGGAATGCAATAGGCTAGAGTAGGGGGAAGAGACCTCTGGTCCGCCGTGATTATAAGGTGACAATGAATTTTACAGCCTAATTATTAATAATAAAAACATCGTCTTATAATCGGGCCAATACGATATGCACAAATTATTCAAGTTTGCTTTTGGACAAAGTCACAATGGGCTATCCACTGTGTCCACCGCGGGAAATTGAACGCCAGAATTTGGAATTGTAAGTCTATAAAATTACCGTCGAGGGACTCAAAACATTCAAATAAAGTGTAATTAACCCTTTGTATAAAAATACTAAATGACATTACTTTTTTCTCGAAAAGGTTATTAACGCATCTCTTTCTGTGTTAATGAAAGCTACTTAATATTGTGATATACACAAACCATAAATTTACACACGTTTATAAAATTAATCAGTTCACCATCGTAACGAACTAATTTCATAATTAGGTATTCATATTTTATTTTCTGGACTTCTTTCTTAGATATCGCATAAGAACACATCGAATTTTGACTAGGATTATTCAGTTCACTTGTAAAACTATGTACGTGTTTCAAGTTTGTCACCCAGCTCGAAACATAATGATCAGATATTAAAGAAACTTGTTGGGTTTGTTAATAACCCGGGGTCGGTCTGCTATAATCTCGTACTTAAACTGTTTCGTGTAATGTAAATTTTGTCTAGTTAGCCGAAACATTTTTATGCAACTCAGATTACGAATCTTGCAATATTATGTGTAAAGAATGTAGCACAATCTTAAGTTCTCATTTAACAGTACTAGGAATGCAAGATAACATTAAAAAATAGCTAAACTAAAAGATAAATAAATGTGTAATTTCACAACGCTCTTTCAATGGAAAGTCGGTGGCATTCAATGCTGTCAATCAAAACATTTTGTAAAAGGATAGCGTTTTAAGAGGCTCAACACAATGTTAATAAACCTACAGAAATTTAACATAATTAATAATTTATTTTCTTGAGCAACGCAAACTGTACAGTATTTTTATAAGTGACGTATACACACGATACGTCTTATATACTAAAATAATTATAACATATTAATAGATTTTATGTATTGAACATTATAAAACAAATCTAAACATCTCTAGAAGCTTTAAAGTAAAACCTTAAAACGCTGTTAAAGAACATCGAGTACAAACATAAAATCTCAGATAACCCGAAGGGTGTGCAACTTCCCTTTAGCCTTTGAAATGCAAATAATTATGCAACTGTAAAAAGCATAAAAATGTTTTATCCTTTGTCTAAGTTACGTTCACAAGGTGATTGTAACAACTATATTTAAAGACTCAATTAATGATAACTATATTAATACAAAAGAGTTGTGAAACCTGTTGGGAATGTTGTCTTGTATCAAGCTGACACATAATTGGAGGTTTGACTGTATTATCCCGATTAAAACATGATTTATGACAGGTATATATCCTTAAACAATCCTTGACTTTTGGGGGATATCCCAATTATTACAGGTTATGACTTGGCAAATTTTTAGTGATAGTCGATGTGTGTGTGTGTGTGTGTGTGTGTGTGTGTGTGAATTATCTGGTGGATAACTAAACATCACTTATCCCTATATTTATCATCATAAAATAACAAAAGAAAACAAACAGTGAGATTAAATGTTCCCAAAAATTTATATCTGTTACATTAACCTTTGTGCAGACCAGGATTTTATAAATTATGTTATACATGAAAAGTGTTGCTTTGGGTGAATACATATTTGCCTATACATAATGAATAAAGCCTAAATAAAGTGTTTAATAACACCATAAGACAGACAGATCATAATATACAAGGCTTATAGTAGTGTTTTGTTCTGTCTATTAGGAAGTTGAATTTCTAAGCTATTATTGTATTATTAAGTGGGGAGATCAGAATCAAACCAAATCAGCAACTCATTTGCTAACCATGAAATGTACAGATTCTTAGGCCTAGATTGCACAGTGTACATTCACAGTTAATCACATAATGTATTCTCTTTCTTATACAAGTACAAGTAAAGTATATTAAAAACAGTTATATAGGATTTAATTTCAGTAATAGAACACAATAAGTAAAGGGCATATTTATTCTTCTCAGCTGTACATTAAAGATTTTAGGAAAATTACAGTATTTGAGATTGAAAGAAAAAGTACACACAATTACACGCAGAACAAAAACTCTAGTACATACATTAAAATGAGAATCTTTGGCAGTAGCCAAAAAAATACTGTTTTTAGTCCTAAACAAGTCTAAATAAACTTGGTAAAATGTTAACTATAATAAGCTAGATATACACTAAAAATGTATTTACTTTAGATCATCAAGCCATTACAAGTGATAATTAATAAAAGGTTTATAAAATGACAGACTTTTTCTTTTACCAGAAAAACGTCCTGAGCAATGACAAGGATATTTATAGAAATATTTTATTCATACTCTAATAATTATAATTGTGGCATATACTGAAAAACATAACCAATTCCATTAATATACAAAGAAGTTAAATGACTAAAATTAAAAGTGACAATTCAGTTGAGGAAAATTATTAAAGACTTGAAAATCTGACTTAAAAAATCCAAAACTTATCAAATATGTCATTCTGTATTACAATACAATAAAAAGAAGTTAACTGTAACACATGGGTTTCCTCAGAAAGTTTTCCATAGGGGGGGGGGTCACAAAGTAGTGTGAAATTGTGAATTGAATAAAAAATACATATGCATATGCCGAATGAATAAAGAAAGAATTGGGGGGGGGGCAAGTATGTATCATTGAAAATATTTTATGATGTCCTGTCTTTAATTTTTTGGGAGTATCTGCAAAAATTAATGAATTACAAACCAGTGTTAACTCTCCTAAACATTTTATATGGTCAGCCAACATTTCTTGTGACAATACATTGAAATACTAAAGAAACTAGTTTGTTTATCAGCTACTTACTAAAGACAGACTCTACACCATTTTGCACATTTACACACTTAGATACAGTAGTTTTTCAGATTAGTTATTAAAAGGATTCTACACTCACTTGTAATTTTAGTATTCAGCCAAGTATTGCTCATAGTACAAAGACTTGGTTTCAAAAGTACCATCAACTTAATTAATTGGAGCATGTAAATTACCAGAGCTAATTGTTTTAGCACAAAGCTAAACAAAAGGCTAGTTGCATTCTGTTCACCAAGGAAAATGAACCAGGAGGCCCAAGAGCTAATACTCTAGTTTTCCTATTATTTATATCGCATATCTAATATAAAGTTTTATAACACAAAATTGAACAAATGTATTGAAAAGTTAAAACGTTCCCTTTACACAATATGTTCTGTGAAAAACAAAGCAAAACATGACTTGTATAAAACACTGAATACATGTTTTTTTAAAATTATCCAAACAGTATGTACAGAGCATGTAAAATTAAACCTATAAATATAGTTTGATTTTAGTTAATTTAGTGAAAGTGCTAATGCAGACAGAACACTTGAACCTAAGTCAGGCCATTAAAGTAGAAGTTGAAAAGTAAGATTTCATATACATTCTTAAATTTGGAGAAACCACTTTTAAAATTCATTTTATATTGCAAACTTGTGTTTATAAACATTAAAAGACAGTTTTTCTCATGAAACACCACCAACCAAATACTGAACCTTTGACAAAGGTCAAAATTACAAAAAATATTTAACAGTTTTCTTTAAAATCAAATGAACTAAAATAGCACAAGCATGAAAATTAAAGCTCCATTTACAAGATACATCAAAATTGATGTACATCAATATATTTTAAATTAAATATTCAAATTTAACTTGACATAAATATTCTCAAGCATGAATATTCTTAAATGTGAAAGAAATCGAAAACATTAACTATAAAATTATCATAAATGAGCATTTTCTACACAATTTCTTATAGTTTCAAGATTTCATGCATTTTAATACTTAGTAATTTTTCTCAGAATTAATAATGTTAAACTAAATAATTCTAACTTACATTATATTTCTGAAAAAATTATATATGTCTCAATTAAACATGAAACATTTCTCATATCTTATCAAATTTTATAACTTTTAGAGCGATTATTATTATTATTAATCTGAAAAAAAGAATCCTATTTAACATTTATGATACACTTTACTATCAAATGGTTTCAGATGAAGCCTTAGCAGTTTGTATTAAGTAACTTTCCCCTGAATCACAGTAACATTTATGTGATAGATTTTTTCCAGATGAATAAATCACAAAACGTTTTAAAATTATATTTCCATCAGTAACATGATGCTTATAAAAGGAACATGTATAGATAAAAAATCTAAACTTCTCACCTTATTCTTTTAAGTGGTGCAGTGATATTGCATAACTATAACCTATTTACATGTACAGGCATATCTTGCAAACTTTTTCTTTGTACAAAGTTATTTCAGATACAAACACGGTATCTACTCACATGGCCAAAGAAGAGAAATCAAAACCTCTCTTCTGTTAGGCATGTACATTTGATAGACAATAATGTTTGAATTTGATTTGGACTTTGTTCTTTACTTATTTCAGTTTTAACATCAGGAACACTTCCTTGGAAAATGAGGACTTATTAAGTTTAAAATTCCAGGTTTCATTTTCTCTGCTGTACTTAGCACGATCTGGATATCTTCTGGGTCTTCAAGACCTAAGATGGTATTCCACGGTATACGTTGTATATAAGTGCTTTCTTTCCTGAGTGAAAGCGATAAAAGAATCATCAGCTGCTAAAAACAATCTATCCTTAATAGTTAAAAGCAATGTGTAATATTTACATTCAGTAAAACACAGATAAGGTGATCTTTCTTACATGCAAGGCAAGTGACTTCTAGACATGAAATATACAAATTTAAGGCTAAAATTTTTTGTAGTTGGTTGGTGAGATGAAACTTTGCTTTAATTTTACTATAAATGTTTACAGATTATGTAATGACAAATGTTTTGATTGGCAGTTTAACAAATGATATTATTTACTTCAATGATTATATAAATGTCTTTTAGCTCATAAAAAGTTAGCTTTAATTTGTCTTACCTAATCTTTTTTTCAGAGGCAGACTTAGGTCAAAGTGAGAAAAGCAACTGCTTTGGGCTATGCACTTACTTAAATATTCGGGCCCCTCACTTACTTAAATATTTGTGACATATGTTAATAAATATATGTAAATAAATGATAAATATATTATATAATAATAATAAAGGACCTATTTATTTTTGTTTCAGATGCTGCCAAAGCAGTTAGAAGATACTGGTCAGAAGTACCTGAGTGGTAATTGGAAAAGGAAGCATGTTGCAGACAAGAAAGCAGAACTGAAAAAAATATGTGGAACATTTGAACAATTTCTTCAAAAGCCCAAGCAGACTGAGTCTGACCAAGAAGATGATGTATTCAATAAGAATGAACAGGATGATGATTTTACAGGTGCAGTTGGAATGAATGATGATAGTGCTAACGATGTTGACCTGGAGAAGGACCAAACAGATGATTAGCAATCACATGATGCTACTATAACTCAACATTTTGATTCTGAGTCCAGAGATTTAAACATTCCAATGATCCTGCATGTTGGCTAAGGCATATTGATATGGGTATCCAAGATCTTTTAGTAAAGGACCACAACAAGATGAACAGTACAATTTCCCAAGAGATTGCAATAGATGAAAGCTTTCAAATAGTAACTTTAAAAGAAAGTTAGGAAATGGTGAACATTGGCTAGTTTACTCTACATCGAAGGACCAAAGTTTTTGCTTCTGATGCAAACTGTTTGGTAACTCCAACAATGGTTTAGGATGTGTGTGATGGATTTTGTGATTGGATAAATACTAGTTTGCACTTGTCTGAACACAAGCGATCACAGGGACACTAGACAGCTACTCTACAATGAATGGAACTTGAGAAAAGTTTAAACAAAAAATGCACTGTTCATTGACTGAACCAGAATTCTACCATAAACTCTGAAAAACTTTGTTGGAGAAACGTTTTTGATTACCTTATGAACACAACATGGCGATAGACTTTATGACCTGAACAATGGGAATTTTTGGGGGTTTGTAGAATTATTTGCAAATTATATCCAGTCCTGCAAAAACATGTGTGAAGAGTTGTACACAATGAAATTCATGATCACTTCCTAGGGAAGTGAATTCATAATGAACTTGTATCAATTATAGGTAACAAAGTGCTGATAACCATTGTAGAGAGAAAAGAAATTGCAAAGTATTTCTCTGTAATACTAGACTGTAAACCAGATACAAGTCACAAAGAGCAAATGTCATTAACTCTCCGATATGTCTCACATAGATTAACAGATGTTTCAAGTAGAATTTATGAGCACTTCATAAAATTTATTGAAGTCACAGAAAGTACAGGGGAAAACTTATGGGAAGTTTGACTGAACAGTATCTATCATTTATTGGGAAAAATACAGTAGCAAAAATGTGCAACTTGTATGTAGAGTTTACACTATGGAGGAGAAATTTGAAGCTATCCTAAATACAGTAGAGGCAATAGATAAAGAGAAGGAGTAAACTTATATAATCCTCATATATAAATATATAATCCTCATATAAACCCAATTTATATATCGTATTCTAAAAATAAACCAAAATTAATTTAAATATTTGTAATACCATCAGTCTAAGACCTAAAAATACAAGAAATCCTATGAGCATATCTTTCCCATGTCTTTACTCTCTAGCATCCCCTCACATCCTGTGTTATTATTACACTGCAAAAGAATTCTGTTACTAAGATGATGAACTGTATATTTCTTTTGTGAAAAAACAAAACAAACTGAATAATGAAATTAATTTAGTTGAAAACAATAATCTAGTGGTACGCACTAAACAAGATTATGTCAACTGAGCATTTTCCAATGAACAATCAATCAATGTGTTTGAAAGAAAAAGAAGTTTTACAATAATTGGATAATGACACTTATGATAAACAATGTTCTTTATTTACATCCTGATAAAAATAAGCAATGTTGTTCATCATGTGTTGTTATCTTCTTTATTTTGTAATGATCGTATTGGTTCTTTCCAAAATACTAAATAATGGTAGAGTTAATAGGCTCATCCCAAAATATCAGTGTACAACTGTCAAACCCAACTGGTTTCAAATAGGTCTAATCCTTTCCCTTAAACTAGCACATTTTTAGGTATTAAAAAAATCAATGTGCTATATCCAAACAAACAGTTTTATCTCTAAGAGAACAATAATGGTTACCGTCATATGTTGATATTATGCACAAAAATATCACATAGCAGTATAAAAAATAATATGTTAAAAATTCATATATATCTAGATATATCTAGTTACATTCTATAAATTGTTCAAACAAAATTATCAATATTATAAAAAAAAAGTTGAAATTATTCTAATTAGTAGATGATTGCATTTGAAGTCAACAATTTAGTTTTGAATTTGGATCATGAAAAATATAGACAAATTTTAATAATTGTTATATTTTAATTCAGAAGAGAATGGACAACTAAAGAATTGAAATGTTTTCCATTTTGGATAACATCAATAATTATGGACAGTGCACACAATTATGGAAGATGTCTTTGGGGTAATATTTGATAATGTTATTATACAGATACAGCACTGTAGCAGATAACTTTGGAAATGAGAGAAAAATTGCATAGAACTAGCTATGCTGAGATTTTATACTCTCCATTAATGTTTCTATAAATATAAAGGAAAAACATATCAACCATTATGTATTATTGTTATGTTAATGCAGGTGGTAGCATGTGACTAACTGAAATAGTTCAGTTCTTGGTATAACTGGTATCATTGGAAAGAGGATCTCAAGAAAAAAAAGTTTGTTGAGAAGAAAGGATTTTCCAAGGTCATTATGGATGATCTGTACCCTTGTCAAAGAACCAGTGTTGTACTTACCTTACTCTATGATAGGACCTAACAACATAGTGAACCATTGCTAAATATTGGTAAATACTGATAAATATTGCCATAAAAATGGTTCTAAGCCCTGAATAACATTCTGTTTCTAATAGAATACCAGAGAGTTTCTGTTTCAAAGGTACTGTATTATTCCAACCTCCATAACCATAAAAAAAAAAAAAAAAAAGAAAGTTATTACATAATACATAATTTTAAACTGATAATACTCTGGACCCCTGAATGCATTTTAAACCGAGATCCCATCCTTTAGTGACCTTCTGGATAGAGCACAGGACCCCTGGGGATAGAGTTTTAAATGATGTTTCAGGAATTTTGGTGTTTATTCTTCAGTATTTTGTAATTAAAGACATTCAGAAATCTCTTATTGTGATGTTCAAATCTCCCTTAAACCAACAAAAAACTGCAGTCAGATATTTCCCAAAATGTTAACAAAAATCTGGAACTTCATGGAATACAGCTGCACACTTGAGAGTGAATGTCTTCTGGCTAATATTTTGATGTACTTGGATAGAGAAATGTCTTCCTTAAAGCACAGAATAAAAGAATCTAGTAAAATGAACTATGCTGTAGCTTTATAAATATTTGAGTATTAAACTCGAATATGGAGGGGCTTTAACCACTTGATAGTTTGCTCATTTAAAAGTAAAGAATGAGCAGTGCACTGCTTAAACAAGAGGGAATACTCAATAGCCGCAGCACCTGAAATTCTCTTAGGTAGGATTAGAGTAAATTTTCTATGAGACCTTTTTTTTTTCCTAGCTATATTTTTTGTAGGTCAGCAGTACCAAGCTTGGAGCACTTGAATAACCAATTCGATTTTATTACTCATCAGGATCTCTACCAGCTTACCCTCAAATTGAGATTCTTTTAGGATGGATTAGAGTGAATTAATCTATGAGACTTTGGGCATTGTCAAATATATCAGTCAAAAGGGTTTGACCTTCTAAGTCCAAAATTGTAATTATATCTCAAATCAGTCAAGAGATGATGGAGTTATGAGTTAAAGTTTTTACTCGGGGCAAAAAAAAAGCCATTCTATGAGTTGCTATGCCGCAGCTAAAAATAATCACATATTTTGTAGATACAGCTGCTACACTGACATTATAAAATGCTTTTTCAAAACAAATAAAAAGAAATTATAACTAAGTTGTTTACTGCAGTATCAATACTTAAAGAGTAATTTAATTTCTCCTGCACTATTTATGTTATACATTTAAAAATATATCAACTGAAATTTCAATCAGTTTTATGAAAGCCATGATTTGAGCATTTTCTGCTAGTGTTAAAACAGAGAAAACCTTCTAAAGATGTTTAAAATATCTAAAAAGAATACTTGCATGTAGATAAACATAAATCTTTGCAATAATTATACATTAACTTTCTTAGAGGGACTTTAATAGAACACTTTAAACAGACAAAATCTGTTGAATGAACAGCATACAGTAGCCCACACAACAGTACTATTAAATAAAAAATTTACACACCTCAGTTTCTCAACCATTTTTATGACCACCATAGCCTTCAGGTGGAGATGTCTCCTAAATCCCAATAAATGATGTTCCTGTTTTGCTTTGTCATGTGTGAGAAGAGAAATCTATATAGGATGAACAGAAAAAAAAAAGTTTTCATGGTGCAAAAGGTTTGCTAAATTGAAAGTAGTAATCCAAAATACTTGGAATGTAAACTTTAGACATTTTTGGTGGTGGAGAAGATACAATTTTGGACTCCTTGATCAAGTTAGTGAAATTCTGGACCCAATGATAAGCTAGAGGGAGCAAGCTGCTGTTATTTTAACTCTGTAAGCATAGGCAAACTAGATTGTTTGTATATATTTTGTTTATGGCAAAGCTACTAAGGCTATCTGTTACCATCCTTAATTTGGAACTGCCATCAAAGGGAAGGCAAATGGCCAGCAGCATTTATAACCAACTCTTGGACCACTCTTTTACCAATGAGTAACAGGATTGACAGACACATTATAACACCCCAAAGTTGAAAGGCTGAGCATGTCTGACACCAGGTTTAATTCTTGTTTTTCATGTGTATTCTTTATTTATTATTATAAAAGTAACTAAAATGTAAAAATTAGAAACTTTTTAGGTTGGATAAGGTTAGATTAGGTAAACTAAATAATAATAATAAAGATCTTTCATGAGGTACACTCATGATCAACTCGTGAGTGGCCTGTGCATTACATAATTCAACAGAATAATGTGAGCTATGCATTCATTAAGTGATTTACAACTTCCGTAGTTGGAATGTTAGTTGGACACTGTTCAAAGAGCAATAAAACAATAAAATTTATGTAGGAACAGATGTATACTGTTTTGAGTTCAAAGCTATTTAGGATGAACAAACGTAGTTTAATGTTACAATCTGAAGTCATTCTAGAAAGAAAAAAAGGGGTAGTTCTGGTTTATTTTTTTAAGTCTTTTTTTGGTTATGAGGTTGGTCAATTTGACTAACCTTGTATACAGCAAGGATAGAGAAAATAACAGATAAAATATAAAGTTTTACTGAAAAAAACGTTTGAAGTTTATTTAGGTTTTAAAGATTATATAAATGAAATTTGAGATTTTCAGATGAATAAAACTATTTTTAATCTCAACATGAAAATCACTTTGCTCTTGGAGCAGTCAACACTTTGACTCCATTTATTCCTGGAGAAATTTTTAGTGAAAATACTTCATTAAACATTCTGATTTTTTTGTCTACAAAAGACTCTTAATGATTTCTGAAAGCTTCCAAAATTCCACGAAGATACACAAAACATATTAGAAGTTATGGTATAGATTGAAACTATAAAGGTCAATTTGAGGTCACAAACTCAGCCTAGCCCATAGTGAGAAAGAACCAGGCTAAGCTCTGGAAACACAGCCTAATCATAATTTCTTGAATGAATGTATTGTATTAACTTGTGTTTTCCAAACCTAAAAAACATATAGTCTTCTTTCTGGGTTTTCAAAGATATTTTTTAAATTGCATTCCTATTTATTACAGATCTACTTTACTACTTTTCAAAATTATTATTGTTTCTTGAAACTTTAAAAATAAACCACTGAACTATAAAAACATATATATAATAATGTAGACTTGTTAACACTGCATTCAAAGATAACACAAACTGTAGACTTACAATTATTTCTAATGATCAGCAAATCAAACAGATATGGTAAGATTTTTCAGAATTTCTTTGGTAAAACTATTAGTTATCAAATATATAGATATACAAAAATTCCCTGACATCAAAAGGCAGAGCTAATTGTCAGAGTCATTGCACTACTAAAGGTATTGCAGGAATAGTGAAAAATATAAAAAACGTCTCCACTTGCTGTTGGAAGCCACTCAACAAGTACAACTACATATACATTTGCAGAAGTGCAAAGAATTAGTTACACAGATAAATACATAGCCAAAATAAATTATTGTAAATGATATCTCAAACATTTGGCTACATCACATGTAAAAAGAAAAAAAAATTTTCTTAAACTTACAGCACATGACTGTTTAATTAGCAATGGTAGTTTGTTTGCTGTTAAGTACAAAGCTACACAATGGGCAATCTGTGCTGTGTCTACCACAGGTATCAAAACCCAATTTTTAGTGTTATAAGCCTTGAGACTTACCACTGAGCCACTAGGAGGCTGCAGTGGTGGTAGGTAAAGCATTTAAATGGATGAAAAGTTTGAAACCATGAAGGATAGATGTCAAATATATTCAAAGTTTTTGAGCGATACTGATGAGGAAAACATTGGATGGAAGGAATTAATGCATTACTGTTAAGTGGCTAGAATGCAATACAATTATACCAATTATTGTAATATAAACAGTAAATATTCTACTCACCTCCTCCATTAACTCAGGGACAAATTTTCCAACCCCTCTAACAGGCTGTAAGGAACTGAAAGAAGACAAAATTAACAAAGAACATACAAAATATCCTTAGACTGACAAGGTATGTATACACACACACACGTGTGTATGTATGTGTGTGTGTGTGTGTATATATATATATATATATATATATATATAATTCAAATAACACTAGATCAACAGATATTTCTCTAAGCAAAACATAACTGTAGCTAGTTTATGTGAACTATACAAGGAATGATGACAGTTTTGATAAGAGTACCACATGGTTTGATATAACATGTTTATGAATCAAAGTTGTCCACACAATTAAGATGACATCTCTGGAAAAAATGTAAGAGATATGTTTTTAGAATTAATTCACAATAAAAAGGCCAGTAACAATAAAGTGAATATGTATCATAAGCCGTTCTTTTCCAGACACAGCTTGCAGCAAATACTACTTATATTTTGAGCCCCCCCCCAAAAAAAGTGTTACTTTTTTAGTATTACTTGTTCCAGGTTTGATCAATATTGTTAGAGCCCACAAAAAACAAAATGATGTTAGACTGACAACTATTCAAACATTTGTTTGTTTTTGAATTTCGCGCAAAGCTATCTGCGCTAGCCGTCCCTAATTTAACAGTGAAAGACTAGAGGGAAGGCAGCTAGTCATCACCACCCACCGCCAACTCTTGGGCTACTCTTTTACCAATGAATAGTGGGATTGACCGTCACATTATAATGCTCCCACGGCTATAAAGAGCGAGCATGTTTTGGTGGGATGGGGATTTGAACCCACGACCCGCAGATTGCAAGTCGAGCGCCCTAACCACATGGCCATGCCGGGCCTTCAAACATTTCTTTTTATTAGTCATACAAACTGAGAGATTTGAACATTATATAGTTAGAAACAATCCAATCATTATTAGGTAGTGGGTTAAAAAAAAAGAGAAATGTTTCCAGTAAACAGGGTGAATAAGAGACTAGCATCCAAGGAAGAAGAATTCTTCTTTTAATATTCTCTCACAGTGTATTGTTTCACAAGCAACAGAGCTGAAAATGGTTAAATGTAACAATACAAAACATACATTTTTTGGATTAATTAAGTTTAAGATTTTTTTAAAGGAATATATAACATCATACTTTCTTAAGTAGGTCAACTTTTTGGAAAGTAGTATATTCATTTAAATATTAGACTTAGATGCATGAAAAAATGCTTTGTGTTGGAAATACCGTTAAATCTCAGTAAGGACCAATAACATATAGGCTTGTTTACAAAATAATCACTACCTGAAATTTCTAAGAACTTATGAGTGAAAAGGAGAGAATAAAACAATAATATGTCAACCACACTCTATCTATGTGCCATATTTAGTACTGACAAAGCCTTTCACCTGATCCCGGGGCACATCAGGCCAGCTACGATACAATAGACACAGTAGTGACCAAGATGCTATATATATCTATGGCAAGAATACTCAGCTTTTGTCTGTCCTGAAAATGCATATGTACCTTACTATCTAAATGTGATTACTTAAATTAACCTTACCCATCATTCAGAAGAACTGGTGAACCAGCAAAATTTAGCTTTATGCTGTGTGAAAAGATTTAGTCATAAAACTGCCCAACAGTCAAGTAAGAGCACTTTATTATCCTGTACTTTAATACCATGTTCTGACAAAAGAACTAAACTATGAACCAATGGTAATAGAAGTTACTGAAATAAAGTACAACTATAATTGTAATGAGAAAGATAAAACTAAACATTTTTGTGGAAAACTTCTTCATTTAGTTCAACAACAAAAATCATAGTAATGCACTTCCGTGGAACGAAATAATGATTACAATTTCACAATATAAACTTATTAAAAACTGGGTTATGTAAAGGTTAATACTGGCACTGTTTTTCTTTAAGAACATTTATTGCTTGACATGCACCATTATGACATATCAAGAATGGAAAATTGTAAGTTTTTATTTACAAATCAAATTATTAAATTTTATCCTGTAAAAAAATATAATCAGTAAATAACAAAAGGAACAAAAAACCATTTTTAAGGCCAAATGCTTAACTGTTGTTATTGCACTTACAAACTAACCAACATTATATTTTTATTCAAACAACATTTAAAACTTGAGTAATTCAGGTTCCCAGATCTCAAGTGCTTATTCATAAATGACCATTTAGAAAAGAAAGCTGGAATATACAGCTGTTTTGATAAGCTTTGATAAATGTTTCAAAGTTAACAGAAACATTGTGTTTTTGTGATGTAATATTAGATAAATTGATTGTTAAATAAGTAGATAAAATGGTTCTTACATATAACCACAAATATAAATTAGAAATACATGTATTACCTGTGAGCAGATGAAAGACCACATGACTGCCAAACAATATCACTTGCAACATCTATCAGAGTAAATCGAGACTTGCTGTTTAAGAGATCTGACTGATCTTGAGCAGACTTTAAAAAAAAACAATTGATATTTCAATCATTTATAAATACAGCATATAACCAAATGTGACTATAAATAGAAATTTGATACTTCTTTTGATTCTAGATGTTAATTTCTCACTTAAATTTCAATATTTGAAAAAAGTACAAAAATTGCATAACAATTTATCAAGTATTGCAAATGTTTCATAATCATTTAAATAGACTATAAAGTTTCAAACACATTTGAATCATCACCTATATTCTTACAAAAACATTTTATGTGGATATGTGTAAGCAACAATAATACAACAACTACATATGCACATGCAAAGAGGTAGACAAGAATTTGAAAAAAGAGACTGATAAAATGTTACTTATAGTTGGGGTAGAAACATGAACCTCCTCTACTGAAGCAAACTGACAGTTGAAAGCACTTAAATTGTGGCAATATAGATGAATGATGGAGATCAACTACACAGAAAGAAAACTAAAGAGGAATTGGAATATGGACAGACAAAAATAATAAATTTTTGGTGAAATTTCTATCGCTTATAAGTAAGAGTTCAATGTTGGTTTGAGTTTCTTGATTGTCAGTCTCTTTTATTCATACATCTGTTTGTTGTTGGAACTACATTTTGTAAAGTTCTTTTCATCAGCTACTTCATTCTTAGAGTATTTCAATAAACAATGGCCTTCTATTACATTTACAGTTGAAGAAGAAAATATTCTAAGTTGTCTTTTTTAGAAATAGGTATTCATAATTTCTGAGGTCATTCAGAAATAGGAACCTATCATAAACCAATGTACATAAAATTGTATAGTCATGTTAACAGTATTATACTTGTTTAAATGTAAGGACAATTTGATATATATCTTAGTTTATAGAGATTATCAGATTACGATAACTATCATTATTTTCAGAAGGAAAGTGTAAAACAAATGTTGTTAAAAAATGGTTTACATCTTATATTATTTGAACAAATTTAAGTAGAGTGCACACCTCTTATCAACTGATTTTTGATGTGCCTAAACTGCCATTCTATATCAATCTAATATTTATAGATAAAGAATGTTACACGTTGAGAGACAAAATTAAAAAATATTTTGAAATAACTGCCCAAACTTTTCAGTATGAAGTGCCTTAAAACTGATATTGAGAATTGAGAACTTTTTCAAGGCAAAAGACAGAAGTTAACATTTTCTTAAATCAAAAATGTATTTCCAATAATACTTACCTTCGCTCACACTACAGCTATTACTTGACTGCTAGGGTTTCCTTTCCTTTGCCCATCTAAGCATTAGTCTGATTCTATCTCGCTTGGTCCAGTCTTTTATACCCCCACTCAATTGCCCTTGGTGATATCTGTCTTGTGACACTCGCCACCTACATCAATGCAGCCTCTATCTTTGTACTGTAGGAGGTGAGTGTTATTGGAAATACATTTTTGATTTAAGAAAATGTTAACTTCCAAAACATACTTACCTCTCCTTCCACATTGATAAAGTGGAGGGGCTGGTGAGGGTATTATCCATACAGAATGCATTTGCATAGATCATGGTCATGCTAATAGAAGATTAGCACCCTAGACAGGAAATTGCACTACATCCAGAACAAGTATGCTCTTCTCCTGGAAACAAAATCATGCATTATGGATGAAATTTGACGTGATCCGTCATCACCACTGGCCAAGGTTCCATTGCTCGAAGTTGGAGTTATAGGGTCATGGCCCCTAAATTCCACGTTGGTGGCTAGGGAATTTGGACTGCAATACATATATTTGTGAGTAGATCCCAACCTGTAGCTATACAGTGATGCATTCCGAGCCATTGGAATCATGACGAGAAGATAAGCAACACCGAAGTTGACAAACCCCCTCCTCAGAATGATGGGTTTCTGTATGCCATACTCAACCTGGGGAAACATAACTCATCCAGTTTGGAATTATGAACACTCATCCTCACTCCCCAACCATGTGGGCAAGGTAAATTCCACTTTCCCTTAGAATTATGGGGAGGATGTGGAACAGATGGTGCTCAACTAAGGACCCAGGATGGGACCACCCTGTGTTCAGAATTATGAGGAGACAATAGACTCTCTTCCATGAACAATGTGTGAACCATTATTTATAAAAAGAGAAGGGCCATGCTTAATCCAACCAGATAGCTGAGCGTCAAATCTGAACCAGTATTATGAATAGGCTGGCATCACTCCTACTGATATCTAAGGGAAAAAAATCCAGAGACCCGGGTAGGAGGGCTCCCAACTTCGCCCTCCTCTCCAAGGGTGGAGGAAAGTCACTCAAACTCTCTGGTGGAATAACCTCTGTCCACCACTCCAGTGACTGGAAACTGGGACTGGTAAGGACTTCCTAACTCCACTAGTAGAATATGGGGGTAATGCACATTGGAGAGCACATTTGAAATAGTGTAATAATTAAAACAAGTTCTCTAAATTTTTGAAAGCAAACTGACCCCAATTTATGCAATCCACTGATCAGCAGAGACAGGCAGGATCCCCTTATGCTTTACTTATGATAGCCCATGAGTTGCAGTCCAGCATAGTACATTAATACTACAAGGTCTGCCTCTAGATGGTCTTATGGAACACCTCCTTTCCACAGAGCCTTTTGCAACCTATATAAAGAATATTGTGTTAGTGGTCACTAGTGTAGATTTGGTTTGATAAAAGCACGTCTGACTGGGCAACACTTGCCACAGAGTGTGATACTGTGATTCCAAACCTTGAGACATTGCTCTTTAAATAACAAGAAGTTCTAAAAAACATTGATTTGAAGGAAAGCCTCGTCATTTGTCCATAGGCTCTAGAATTCATGAACATTGAGATATGCACACCATCTCTGAAGTGAGGCATCTATGAAAAGATGGATCTCTGGAGAAGGTGGTGGCAGAAGAACATTTATCATAGTATTGTTCCAATTTAACAACCACTCGAGATCTAAGATGTTGAACCTGAATAAGTGCTGGGTAATCCAGTGGATCACTGTTCATGATCCATCGATCATGTAGAGACCATTGATGGGATCTCATGTGTGCTTGTTCAAAAGAAATGAGGGATTCAAGTGATGCCCACATCCCCAAAAGAGAAAGAACCATCTGTGCAGTGGGAAAAGGAGATGTGAGTAAGAGTCAGACTGCCTGTTCCATAGCATGGAGCCAGATGGGAGTCAGCTGAGCCCAACTGAGATATGTGCTGAAAAAGATACCTAGATGGATGATATATTGTGTGGAAGTGAGAATAGATTTCTCAGCTCTGATAAAAAATCCTGCCTTGGTTGCTTTGGAAAGTAGTATCTGGGCATGACATTCTGCCAACTGATGAGATGGTGCTAGTAGTAGCCAGCTGTCCATGTAATGGTGTGTGCACAGGTCTAGGGAATGGAGATAATGAGAAAAAGTTTGTACGATATTGCAGAACACATATGATACCGATGCTAGCCAGAAGGGCAGAACCTTGAACTGTAGCATCTGACCCTTATGCACAAAAAGCAGATAGTGGCAGGACAACGCCGCTATGAGAACATGCATAGGCATTGGCAACATCAAACTTGGTCATCCATAGTTCTAGCAAAAAATGCCAATGCAGAGTGAGGAATGACTCCATCGTGAACTTTGGAGGATCTAGAAATTGATTGAGATGAGAAAGATCGATGACCAGAAGCCAATCTCCCATTTTTTGGGGCACAACAAACAGATGGGAATAAAACCCTGTAAGAACTGGAATAACTCTCTCCAACAACAAATCTCTGATAGACATGGAACAAAGTTCTGAAATCCAAGGATTTGAAGGAGGCAGAAACCCACAGGTTTGGGGGATAATGGTGGTGGTGATGTGAATTGACTGACTAATCCTGGTGCAAGGACCAGTAGTACCTATGGATCCATGGTAAAGGTTTTCCACATGTCAAGAAATTCTCAGAGCCAAGCCCCACAGACCCCAAAGGCATACAGTAGTCACCACTGCCACTGGTGACATTCTGACAGAGTGGAGTTACCTCATGGATATGGACGGATTCTATTCAGGGTACCAATGGACTGATGTTGGGGTTGGAACCCTCGAATAGGAGTGGAACCATGACCCCCTGTAGGAGCTGAGGAAATTTGAGAAGCAAATAATGACAGGGATGATTGCAGATGGGCAACATCAACCCTTGATTCCAAATACTCTAGAATATCCAAAATCAATGGTCAGAGAAAGGGCCCCTCACATAACTCATGAAGGGCAGCAGCAGGTAAATGAATGAACCCCCTCCAACAATGCCTTTCTACCCAACAGCATACCAGCCAAAAGACTAGGGAAAGTACAGAAGCTGACAATCGAACCAAAGTAGATGCTAATAATGGTCCCAACTTGTTATCAAATCGACGTGGCGATCACCGAGAAGCTTCTCAAAAAAGGAGTAAGGATGATAAATGTATCAGTACTGTGGTTAAGGTCAGCCAAATCCTAGAAAATTGTGATTTATTCATGTGGACCACAGAATCCTTTCTGGCAGTGGTAGGCTAAAGCATGTTATTCTGTGTGACAGATTTACTATCATATAGTTGTTTTAATATCAATGTTTATTTGAGTTAAATTTATATTCAAAAAATGTACATAACTTATTCTGTTAAATCTGTATTGTGAAATTCCTGCCTATTCTCTAAAATTATGGAAAATTCTCGAGTGTAAGAATCAACAATATATGTACGTAAACACTGGGGTGTCATTTATATTGTTGCGTAAGCTGAAATTTTGAGAAACTCTCTTTATGCCTATAAGTATAGCCAACACGCCACACCAAAAGACAGTATATATTATTGGTTTGTTATAGTTGGTATACTATAAACCTCAGAAACTATAATTGTGATTAATGCTTATTAATCAGGAAACTTCAGATATTTGACCAGGAACATTTATAAATTTCGAACATTACAAACCATTTAACTTCCGTGTATTCACATCGGACATTAGTACTTTTACAAAGACATTATATAACTTCAGTGGTAAAAAACTCAACCTGTAATCAGTATGTGATCAGCGAGGACCACAGAGTTAGCTAGCTCCCTCTTAAATGAGTTGCATCTACATCAACTCAAAATTAATTTGCTCATAATGAACCCTCGATAAAACATCAAGGAAGTTCCAGACCAGAAAGAAGACTCAATATTATTTGTAAGTTTGTAAATCTTTTGTACAGAGATAATAACTTGTAATAACTGTTTTTGTAAATTGTATTATTGTTTGTATATTAAAATATATTTGTATTAGAAAAGAAACTGTGTGTGTATCAATCTTGTTGGCAAATATCATAAATTGGATACATATCAGCATTTATTTAACTACTAAATCTAAATTACAATTTAACTCAGTTTTTGTATATTTTAAATCGTAATACATAACATCTGACAAATGTGATGAACAAAGCATAGCTGTCTCTTCATGTAACCGAGTAGTATACCTCCCTGCATGAACTGTAATATCAGGGGATGGAGGGAGAACTAAGTGCTTACCCACAGACCTTTCTACCATCAAGGAAGGTGCAAATTCAAAAGCAAGTGGGAAAAGGCCAAAAACATCACACACTTGATTTACCAACTGAAGGATCCAGAGGCAGATGATCCATATTGGCCTCATGACAAGCCAACTGAGCAAAGGAAGGCAATGGAAAAAGGAAATCTAAATTCTTTTCAATGTGGACAAGAATATGTGAGGTCAACCATGTGTCATTTACAAAAATGTATAACAGAGCATCTGAAGCCAATCACTGGTAATTCTTCAAATATCTATAAACATCTAGATCAAGAATGTTATGGAACTGCTGAAGAAAATAATTTTTCCATAATATGTACTCTCAACAACAAACAAGATGCTGAATATATATAGGAAATGGAGGATGTGCTACTTTGGGCCAGAAAATGGATTGGAAATAAGAAGCTTGAATTACGAAAGTTAGTGCACAAAACAACAACAAAAAAAGAGAACAATGGAGAACAATAATTAACTATCAGAATTGGGGAAGATATGAGTATTTGACTGATACTGCCTATTTAGCACTTCATATTTCAAAATGGTTAGTTATTATTGGTTACGACGTCACTATAGTGACTGTACAGACTATAAATGAAACTTTCTGAGAAACTTAATTTTGCAGTAAAAATCAATAATGTTCCACAGTTGGATCTGTATGTTATTTCCTATAGATCAGCAGCTATAATATGGCAAAGTGGAAAGGTACTAAAAACATTCTGACTATAAACAGGTATGGTAAGAGGAGTCGAATTGTAATTTCTTTCTTTGAGCTTTCTAGGTTCAAAAGTATATTGGATTAAGCCTAAAACTTTGGTAGAGCAATAAAATTCAGCTTTTATCTAAAAATGCAGAAGAGATGACAAGTTTAACTTGAACTTTACTTTTAAAGACTGTGCTCCTATCAAATTTCACAGTATACACATTCAATATGGTAAACAGATAAAAAGGAATTTCCTCTTTATTCTTTCTAGAACCTTATAGCTTGTTTTCTAAATTTGAATACAAGGGTCTAATGCATTTTACAGACAATAAACTGTATTGGATACACTGTGCAAACATGCATTTTAGTTTAAGCTAAGAATACAGCTTTATTTAATACTTGTTACTGTTTATAACACTGAACGATTTAGGCCTAATATTTGAAAACATTTTATTGTCAAATACATAAAGAATCTTTGTTGTTAAGTATCCTTTCTTTCAATTACCTAAATGAATACAACCATCTCCAAGTATGAATTAGAAACAACTGTATTTAATATTTTACTTTTTTGTCGATTTCACATGTAGCATAACCTAAAACAATATTATATAGTAACATATAAAACCTTCAGAATTCCTTGCACATATAATCCTGAATAATATGCACATAATTTTCCAGATGTTGTAATCAAGGAACAGATTTTCTCTTGTGAGTTGAGAAGAAATTTCAGATGGAGAATCATCTGCAGAACAAATAAGGAAGTTTTTAATTTATAATGAATTTTAAACACTAGAAATGAAACAAAAGTCATTTCCAAACAGAGCCTGGATGATTCCAAAATATCATTTTACATTGAGCATAATATATTGTTCATAAAAAAAAGAAAAAGAGACAGAGAGAGCTAGTAATACATTAAACCATGAAAAGATGCAAAGCTTTAGTTTTTTGGGTTAATAAAATACCAGACAGTATTATCAACTGTTTTTCAATAATGATACATTATTAAAATAAGCATTAACTTAAAAATGCACGATATGTAGCAAAAATGTGTGACAAATGGAAGTTGATAAAAAGATGTGTATTTTAAAATTATCAATTTAATAAATGCCTAATAGTCTAGTACAATTAGTAACCATAGAAAATGAACTGGTTAAACCAAAATCTTAGAAATATTTTGCACCTGACACAGATTAAAACAAAACACTGTTCCATTAAACCTTTCTGTGTTCTCTTGCTACTAGTTCAGCAGTCACACATGTACAATGAAATATATTGTGTAAAAAACACAACAGAAAAAATTTCTTAATGATAAAAGTGTAATTTTACACAAACCAACTGATAAGCAATGAAACCATAAATACTATGAACTAATTATCTATTAACCTAATATTATCTTCCTCAATCAACTTGAAATTAAATTTTGTATTAAATTATCTTGCCGTGGTTTTAACAGACACTTTTAAACACTTACAAACCTTCTTCAAGTGTTTTTTTACTTAAAAAACTACTCACTAACAGGAAAATCAATGAAAGTATAATATTCCTCTTAATGCTACAATGTGTAAATTCAATTAAATCAGACAAAGATTTACATTTTAATTTCCAATTAATAATAATTTTCTTATTTTTTTCCAGGAATAGGCAGAAAATTTAAAAATATATAAATGTCTTCACATTAGAATACTTGCCTGCCAAACTAGCTACATCTAACCCACAACAATTTCATTACTAAAATACAAAAAATAATAGCCTTGAAAAGATTTTTCTTAGTTACTGATAAGTCATTGGGAAGTTTGTGTTGATTAAATCAAAACAGCTTTTACATTAATAATTATAACTGTGTTTTTTTATTAATAAACAATTCTATTTGCCCATTGGTGTAGTCCTGGTAAAAGAGTGCTTATAAGAATAATGTTCATACTCAGTCTGACAAAATAATTTGTAACAAGAATTTGACTAAATAACAAGAGATGAAATAATCACTTGTTAGAAAATCATGCTTAAAAGTGTTGATTAAAAACAAATCCAAGTTTATTTAAATATTTTTAAACTAGCCCTTCATATTTTCTTCTTGTCTTAAGAAAAATGTACCTGTTCATCTCCAGACTTTCCTTTATCTCCAAGTATGTGTTCAGAGAACTAAACCTACCTTCTTAATACTACTCTCTGATGTTCCTACAACGACAGTGTGGCCACAGGTCTGCAAATGAGACATAATAGCTCTCTGAGTTAGAGACTTCAAGGAAGCTCCTGTAGCTGAATCAATATCCTGTATAAACATTATACAGAATAATTGAAAATGATACTTCTTGCAGCCGTGCTACACAAGCAAGGACTTACAAACTCTTCAAAATGTATTTAATTATGATAAACAGATGTAAGAACATACATATAAGAATTCTCATATATATTAAATGTAGACATTTAATAGACATTTAGTTTGTGAATGATGTCAAGATCTCATACATATTTCTTTAAAAGGAGGGAGCCTGAAACAAAATGCATAATGTTGAATTACAGACTGAAACAAAAATAATAAAAGTATCTTGTTTAATTAACATATTTTGAAACTATTCTAAGTAATCAATTGAAAAATATTTGTATACTGCATTATCAGAAAGTTTAAAACCAAACTAATAATGCAATGTGATGAAAACTGACAAAATACTTTGGAGCACCAAGAAAACTTGAAAAAATTTAGTGCTGAAATGTTCAGACCAATTAGATTCAACAAAATAGTTCAAGTCTTCTTTTACAATACTGTATATTGATGTTTTAATAACGTAAATTCAAATAACATTTCTATATGGCATTATCAGAAAGTTTAAAACTAAACTAATAATACAATACAGAAGCATGAAAACTTACAAATACTTTGAAGCATTAACAAAGCTTGAAAAATCTACAGGTCAAATGCACAGGGCAACTAGATTTAACAAAATTATGCTAATTATGCTTAAAATAATGTATAATGAAGTTTTAACAATATAAAAATCCTAAACATTTTCAACCTAATGTAAAATATGTGAAATCTGTCAAGACAACTTGCTTGCTTTATTAGAGTGGTGTTTATCTTCCCTTTTGGTACTGGAATGTTCCAGTTTTCATGAACATTATCAATTTGTAAACTAAATTTTTTGTTTAAATTGCAGTTTATTTTATTTCCATATACACATATAAAGTATCATTATATTAATACTGCTCTTTAAACAAAAAAAAACAAAAGCAGTAACAAGAGTCTGACTAAGTTTATGCACAAATCTGGTTTCTTCTACTTTATTGTTTATGTTTAACATAGGAATTGTGAAACTGATGATCAACATTTAATTCTGGCTTTAGACATTGAATGAGCAGTTTTTAATGCACAAAATTTAACAATCTTTTGCATGATTTAGAGCTCTAGTGTCAGTAATTGTAAATGGACCATCACAAGATTTCAAGTAGTGCCTACAGATTATGAATTCACTACACTAGACTTGAGATGTCTTTTATAAATGATTGTTGGTCATGTATAAAATAACTTCTTAAGTCTAAAGTGATGATAAAATAAGAATCCTAAACTTAAATGTGATTGAAGTAAATTTCTTTATTGTTTTTGACATTTTAGTTAAAGCATAATGAGAACGTATGCATTCTCATTATGTGGTATGACTTATGTTAAAGTGCTGGTTTTTAAGATGCACTGAAAACATAAAGGTATTTAGAGCTGAATGGTAAACAAAGGCACTCTTATGACCTAACTGTTTTATGAAAATATAATAAAAAGTTACTCACAAATATCAAAATTGATAAAATTAATCATGACAACAAAATGACTATAAATAAAATTTCAAATTAACTTCCAACATTACTCTGGTAAAAAAAAAGTATCTATCTACATATATATATATTTTTATACCTTTCGTTTTGGTTTTATACAAAAGAATAACTTTATCTAAAAACATATACGTATTTAAATTTGCATAATTGAAAATAAGGAATATATATGTATTAATGAGTTTATAAGTTTTGCACAATTTCTCAGTGTTTTACTGGAATACACAGTCTCAATTCATATAAACTGCAACATTAGCAGCATTTCACTTATAACAACTTAAATGCTACCACACAGAAAAAAACAACAGTACATACCTGTTCATCACAAAAATTGACATCTGATGGGCCAATAAATGGTTTTAGAGAAAGTAAAGTATGATAAAAGTCGTTCAACATATCACCAATGTAATCTAAATGGTCAATCAATGGTCCCTATAAAAATTACAGAAAGGTACATTAGCTATAAATATGGGTATACAAGGTTAAATTCCTTATTTTTGAAAACACAAGGAGATTATGCTTTTTTATACACTTTTCGAGATGCTCCTACTAACTTACATCAAAATCTATAAACTGGTATTAAAAAATAAATGACTTATTAAAGGTTTTTATACAGGACAAAAATGCTAGTATTTCAAAAATAAAACTCCTACCTTCTCCTTTACCAGTTTTACAATCTTTGTCATTCTTACATCAGTCATAGTCAGAATGGGCCAGAGACTTGCCAGATCCTTATCATTCTTGAATACAACTGCAAGAGAAACAGGAGTGCCATCTTGCCACCACTCTTCTGCAGACTGATGCTGTTTAAAGCAAGTTGAGTGAATAATTTTATTGTTAGGAGTAATCAGAAGGCGACTAAAAATATCATTCTGTAAAGGCAAGGGATGAACTTGTTGTAATTCTCCATGTAATATCTGCCCAACACAGTGGAGTAATTGGGGGTCAACCTCTTTTGATTCCTCTCTACAATCATTACTATTTGGAAAAGTAAGTTTTAAGTTGTTTAATAAACTATTAACAGAAGAGTCATTATGTGTATTTTTACTTTTCTTTCTGTCCCTTTTATACCAGCTTTTAGGTACCGAATTGGGTAATGACGAAGATAATGTAGTAGATTTGGAGATATTGGGCTGCAAGCCATCACGATGTAGACCAATATCTGACTGACTGAAACGTCTAGCATTAACTGTACATTCTGGTGTCCAGAATGCTAATAAGCCTGGACCTATGATGTGACTCCATGATGATAACAGTACAGCTTCAAGCATGACACCCTGGGGAGTTAGAAAAAAAAATTCAATATTTCAAAACAATATCATACACATTATATTAAGAACAATGCCAATGAAGCTTCTGAAGCATATAAAAAATTACTTAATTGTCAAATTGGTGTAATATAGTCTTAAGTTCATGTCAACTCAATCAAGTTCTATGTTACAGCTTAATATATTCATAATGTAGGAGGTGAACATAAAACCAGAATATGTTAACATCCTATCTATAAAGTTTATTGAACAAAGCTCAGCAAGTGTCTGAAGTATCACCACATACACATGAACATAACAACTGTTCCAAATATAGCATTTTTATTTGATAAAATGTAATCTCATAAACATCTAATTGCAAAGTAATAATTTGTTGATAAATTCATGTCCTAAAAACCAAGCAAATTGAAATTTGGATTACTAAACAGTTCTTAACTACACATTTTAATCAGTAAATGGGGTAACACAAATGTCTGACAATGAGAAAGTGTGCTAACCCTTAGAAATATAATATTCCTATACAAGTACATAAAAAAATCATGCTCTTGCTTCCATTATTATGAAGAAAGATAAAGCTAACTTTAAAATGATTCAAAGAAATCTCCTAGAATAATTCCTAGTTTGAATCACACAAGTCTTAAGATAGAAATTATTTAAATAGAAAGACAAACTATAGGTCCTATGGTGCTGGTTTTCTATGCCATACAGATAAAAGATCTGAGATGTAAAGTCTGAGAATGACAGTGAAAAAATGATCATAAAAAAATACAAGTTAAAATTTTGTTTGTATATTTAAGATATTTTTGCAAAGCTATGTAAGAGCTACCTGTGCTAACTGTTGTTAATTTTAAACTGATATGCTATGGGGAAAGCAACAAGTCAACAGCACTCACTGGCAATTCTTGGGCTACTCTAATCAGATAGTGGGATTCAGTTTTCACTCTTGCAATGCACACACACACAACTTCAAAGTGTGGATAGTAAACTTGCAGCAACTGGATTCAAATCATGAAAAATGACATAACAGTACAGGAAACATACAATAAGAATTTGGTTCATGTGACCACTGTGCTTTAGAGTGACATCAGATACAATCTTCACTTTCACTGACATAATGTGCAAGATCTCCTATTTAAAATATTAACCATGGCAATATGCCAATATTCTAGACTTTTTCTACAGTTTTAAACAATATCATGCGCTTTCATAGAAAGCTTTATTAATGAACTGTGCCAGAATGGGATAAATGTACCTGAATACTTCTTTACTAATTGTACGTTCAAGTAATCATCCATGTATGAGGTGGAACATGACATAAAAATATATATAAATCTGAAAAAATCACCGACTGTTTAAAACACACTTTTCATAACCCTGGATAATAACCTAATGTGCTAACTTAAAGGTTGGGTTAAAATATTAAAGGAAGTATAAAAAGAAATTAGAAATACTACCGTGAAAATTTTTTTTATAAAAATCTCTCTGGAATTAGCAAACATGAAAAAGGCTATTCAGTTTAGGTCATCTTGCATTTACTTATGTATTGCATTTTGTTGGGTGTTCAGTTTGGAACTCTTCTATCATTCTTTTCAAAGATATTCCATGTATAAGGTTTGGCATTTAACTCTGAAGGACAGCATTTGAATATTGTTAGGCACATATTAAGTCCACTTTTTGTGTTAATTAATAAAGACCCAAAGTGCTCTATTTATTTCCAGATTGTATGTCATTCTTCAACTTATCATGTTTAAATTTCATTTGTGTGAGTAACTTCTATTTTCTGATCATTAAGGATTACTTTGTCTGTTTTAGAGCAAAGCTACATTTGGCTATCTGCTGTGTCAACTGTGAGGAATCGAGCCCTGGATCCTAGAATTGTAAGTCTGTAAACCTACTATTTACTCACCGGAAGAAGGCATACTTTGTACCAGAACCCTTAATCCTAGCATCAAAGTTCAAAATTAGTAATAGCTAGCTTGCAAAAAAGTCCGTAGGTTCTAGTATATAACCAGTGACCATCAAGGGAACTTTTTTTATTTATTTAAGCTGGTTGCAGGTATAACACATATGGGAAAATAACACTAATATAATCAATCAATACCAATTTTCCAGTAACTTGTATTGTACATTGTTCTCATGCATCTTTCAACAGAATTTCCCAAGTTTCAAACAGCAACTGCAAACAGTGTTCCAGTATTGTTTGAGTTTTTTCTTATATATACATCTGTATATTTTCATTTCATTAGTAGGACAGTAATTATTATTACAAACACAAATCAAAAACATATTAAATTGTAAATACAATGCTTCCTGGAAGTTCATATCAGCTCAATTGTTATATTCACTAAGAGCATGTAATTCACAAATTGTTTTTTCTTCTTCTTTGTTTCTTTTTGCCAGCATGGTTGGCAACTTAAAAACATTTAGCAGTGAACAAAAAAGTTAGTTTCAAGCCCTGCAGCATACATGCAAAGATCTGAGTTAAGTAAAATTTATTTGTAGTTTAGTAGTTACAACTGTATTTATAAGCAAAAATGTTTTGCTGAAATAAATATTTTTATGCGTGTGTTGAAGCAGATACGCTGAGAAAATGCTTTTATTTTCAAGAAAAAGTATCAAACATTTACACACATACATTCTATGCTTGAAGCGGGGAAAATGAGTGGGATGGTTTGTGAAATTTTTGAAGCTTAGTACTATATTTCTTGTTTATCGTGTGAATTCTTTATTTATTATAATAAAAGGTAGCTGGATGGTTTCAGGTCCTCTTGGGCATCTAACCTCATCCTGCCCCCACTTCAAATGTATAATATCAATACATTGACTGCTATGCAGTGGTGAAATATTCTGTTGAAAACACCAGTGTACAAAGAACAAACCAAATCCAAGAGACACATGTATGCATTGTTAGTTCTGTGAAAATTTGAATGATATCACAAGAATTTTTAATTCTAGAATGTACACACTATAAAGTTATAACACTTAGAACTTTTTATTTTCCTAAAATACATTTTTAAACATCAATAACAATTTTTCTAACTATGTAAAAGTTTTTCATATCCTGTTTCTAACCACATCATTAAGGCATAAAATATGCCGTTCAGAAGATTTATTATGGTCATTCATTGTTAAAATAGCATCATTCAAAACAAAGTATTATTTGAGATCAGATTGTCTAAATGATTGTATGTTTTTGAAAATGTGCTATTCAATTCAGTCACACTGCTTCAGAAGTTCTCTTGACATCTATCAGGTTCAATTATTTTATGGGAAGATGACTTTGACTAGGCTTCAGTAAGTTATCTTTATATAATATAAAGAAACATGAAAATAGTAATAATGTACAATGTGTACATTGGCTCAGTAACATGGAAAGCATGTGGGCCACTAATGTAGTTTTACTTATATAAATGTATCAAAATAAATGAAGGACTGAATGATAATTCTTCAAACAAAAGAATCATATATTTGGGTTTACACTGCAAAATACTATCTAAAACAGTCTTACTTTTTTCTGTTTTGTATTGCAAAACATTGTGAATGATGGTTCCTTGGGAGATGATACACTATGTTTTCCAACATACAGATTACAAGACACATCCTTGAAAAAAGTTAACAGATTAGTAACGCAAGATTTTCCTTTAGTGAATCCATGCTTTCCTTTATGATATGATATTTCATTATATTATTTTCTATTATCAGCACCTTTAAGATTTTTCCCATTACAGATGCAAGACTAAATTGCTTATAATTTCTAGGAGTAACAATAGCAACCCTGTAATCCTCTAGCATTTGCCTGCTATCTAATGACATAACAAAAATAAAAGAGAAGCTCACATTTTTGATCTTTAACCACCTTTAAAACCATGCAAAACTCTAGCCTGCTCCTTATGCATTATCTATTTTAAATTTCAAAATCTTTCTACTTATCACTAAAGGATTAACATCAAATGATTCAGATCAATCTCAGTATTTCCCATAGAATACTAAAAATCAGAAATATTGCTAACATCCTTTTTTGTAGAGAAAGTAGAAAAAAGTTAAAAGCTCAGCTACTTCATGGTCTTAAACAAATACCTTGCTATCAACATCTCCAATTTAACATTCTGCAATGATGTTAGTTTTAAGATTATCAGCCAACTGCTTTGCATGAACTCTTTTCTGGTTTCCTAATTTCTTTTTTAATCAAATATTCTAGCTTTTCAATAGTTCTGTAAATCTTCCATCCTATCTATCAATTTAAACTTAAGGTATTTATCCCTAATTTTCCTCCTTATGTCTTTAGGTATCCAAGTAGGATTGACCTTGCCTGTTATCCTTATTTTTCTCTTTTTCAGGAACATGCCTATCTTAAATTAAAAGAAATTTATTTTTAAAATGTTCCTAAATTTGTTCCACATCACCTTTTAACTTATTATTCCAAATCACTAATAATACATTTTGTCTCATGGCCTCAAAATTAACTTTCTGAAACTTAAGTACTAAAATTTCACTTTCTTTTTATCTCAACATGTAGCAAAAACAACAAACCTAATTACATTATGATCACTCCTCCACAAATGTTCCCCATTTCAATTCTAGCAACCACATTCACATTAGTGGATAACAATAAAGCTAAAATGGCATCCCTTATAGTTGGTTCTCTGGTCATTTGGTATTGAGAATTGTCCTAAATCATTTCAAGAAACCTTTCTAAACTCACCAGCTAACTCTATACAATCCTAATAACTATCTAAAATGAATATATCCCATAATTTTTGCATTAGAATCCTTATTAATAAGAACTCTGGTCTAATTTCACATTGACATCACCTGTCTAATCAGATGTCCTAAAAAATTGCCATCTAAAAGTTTTAACCCTGAAACTCCTCATTTTAATCCATATGCAATAAGGATTTTACCTTTTTACTACCATGTGATATGTTTTCAGTCTCAACAGGCTGTAGCCATTCCTTACATAAAGATAAACACTACTGCCAAGTTTTAAACAGTCTATCACTATTAAATAACTTACAACATATAATTTCAAAACAACTCATATTGTCAGTGTTCTCCAAGTCTAACAAATATCAGTAATTCCTATTATATCAATATTTCATTTTAACTTGTGCCCTGAGTTCATTCATTTTCTTTCTAATACTCCTAATATTAAAATCATAGTAAGTAAGCTTATTCATAAATTTATTAGTGTTCTTACCTTTAAATTTGATAGACTTATCTTTAAAGCTATTGTTTAATTTGTTGTGCTCTAAATATAATTCTTCCAATCTTGTTACCTTAGCTGTCTTATCAATGTGATTATTCTCAAGTTCCCAAATTACCTCACCACTTTGAAAGTTTGGTTGAAACTATTTCTTACGAATATCTTTAGAGTTTGGACAACATCCTACTGCCTAGCCTGCTTAAGTAGAACTCATCTATAGCATATAATTCACTCTCACCTTGTCAAACCGGCCAATCTGTTGCTCTAAGTATAAACAGAAATAGATGAAACCCACAGGCATCAACACCAGCTACACTACCAAGATGTTATTAAAATAGTGTGGCCTTTTAAATCAACACCAGCTACACTACCAAGATTTTGTTAAAATAGTGTGGCCTTTTAAATCAACACCAACTACACTACCAAGATTTTGTTAAAATAGTGTGGCCTTTTAAATCTCTCACAAAGATTCAGATGATATTTCATGGGAAAGATTGAACAAAGCCTGAATTATACAGGTATAGTTACTTTAGTTGAAAGTATTTCATAATCAGCATTGTAATGATCCGCAGTCCTTTTTAACATCATGTATTTTTAAAATTATATGAAAATTTTATAACAGCACAATAAGTTTTCATATTTCAAGAACTAGACACAAACCAGCAATGGTCATCAGGTCAGGCAACAGTGCCTGGAAATGTAGCATAACACTTCTAGTCAGGATCTACTTGGCTCTGGAGTAGGTTATCAGAAGCACTACTCTTGCTTGAACTGTGATACCCTTTTCAGCATCATTTTCTAAAAGAAAAAGAAACACCAAACTAAAATAAACTTATGCATTATACACACGTGGAATGTCTGTTCTAATTTGTGGCTGAAAATGCTTGTAATGTCTGTATAAATACTTTTACAAAATCTCGAGTTCTGTAAATTCATGATTGTGCCAGTAACAGAAGGTTCATACACAGGTACGAGATACTGAGTGCTATTTTTATGCCAACTTATAAGGTTCAGTATGCACAAGGTGTTACTTGTATCTCATTCTTCAAGTATTTATATTATTATTTTTGGCCAGTAGCAATTTATTTATCATTTGAAAATTAAACTACTATGTACATGTACCTGACTGCAGTTTGTTAAATCACTTGAAATTTTGTTTTACAGCATTATTAACTCTGTGCAGGAATGTGTTGAATGTCATCTCATGTTGTGTGCAGATTATATGTATAATAAAGAATGTATTAATTATTTTGATGTTTATCACCCCTTTAACTAGAAATACTTTACCATTTCCTATAACAATGAGACATTTCAGTTTTAATATATTTCCTCTGTTACAGTTATTAACTAGTGATATGGAAGAAAATTATCTTGATAGATATTCTGATTGATTAGTCTCTTAAGACATCCAAGCAATGTGCTATTGCTAGTGACAGGGCAAATAATATTTTAGGTTGTATCTACCTAAATATTGAATACAAGTTGAAAAGAGGTTATAATATCATTGTATAGGTTACTGGTTAGGCAACATCAAGAGAACTATGTTCAGTCTTGGGTTTCTTACCTTAGAAATGACACTGAATTGTTGAAAAGAGTTCAGAGGAGGGCTATTACTAGGATCATGACTGAGATGGAAAGGTTGTTAAATGAGGATAGGTTAAGACATATGAAATTGTTTTCTTCTGAAAAACAAAAAGTTAGAGGGGATCTGATTGTGGTGTTTATGGTTGATAAAGGAACTGATAGTCTGATGCATCATTTTTTTTCATCAAGTGTGTCGAGTGCCCAAAAATACTTGAAGGGCACACTGTTTGTTATTAACAGAAGTGACAGTTTAGCAATTTTTCAGTTTCTGTAACTCAGACTGTGGTAGTCCAAACTCACAAATGTTTTCAGTGGATGTGCTATACAGGATTCTTACTTCACAGACCAAATTTCAAGTCCATCCATTAAGAAATATCTGAGATATAACACCTTCAATTTTGATTGAAGTTCTTCCTTTTTTTTGCACCAAAAGTGCTGAAACTACATTTGATAGAAAAACATACTGGATTTTTTTAAAAATTTGATACACTAATAGATCTTTATAACTTATAATTAGGTGTTAAATTTGGTCTATATATAAGCCACATATACAAAGTTATTCAACAAAAACTGTTCAATTTTGACCCACATTTTTGAGCATACCTATGCAAAAAGTCATGTGAGCTATCAGTCTAAAATGTTTACTACAGCTTCTCCTAAGAGTAAAAGTGGATTGTTTTTAGATTTTGTCTTTCAGATTAAAGATGGTTGATTTAGAGAAGCAAACCTATAGGGTGAAAGCATGTGCAGTTACGTAAGTATTGGTTAGGCCAAGCATACTAGATTAGCAGTTCAAAATAATCATAAGGTTGGATAGTTATTATTTGCTAAATTTTATGAAATTTTCCTAATTAAAGAGCATTTAGCATCATGTGATATTAGCTTAAGCAATTAGTGAAAATAATGATTCTTGATAAGTTTGTACTGAGAACATGCAGGTGATGACAAGAAACTGTTAATCTAGATTCCACGGCATTACTATAAAATAAATTATTAACACTGTTTTGGAGAGGAAAACTACCACCATATATTTTTGAAGAATCTGGTTGATTCTGTAAATTATAGATCTGCTCCAAATAATAGGGTTGCAATCCTAAAGTTAATGTTAGTTACTATCAAGTGCCACTTTTTTATTTGCTGTGATTTGTTGGTTTATATTGACCAAAAAATCATGATTTCTAATCATAAACACCTTAGGTGTGAAAAAAGGTGCATCCGAAAAAGGATTCAGCATGCAACTTAAAGGAATGAAATCATTAGTTAGCTAGGCCACATATTTTGTTTTACACACCATCATGCCCCAATTTGAACAAAAAATGCAGCCTGGCTAACTAATGAATGAATATTTGCTGTAAAATTCTTATCAATGTATTTGGCCACACCTTTTTTTCACACCAAAATTGTTTTAGATTAGATACTTAATAGTGAGAATGGTAAGACTAGATGACACAAGTATAAATTTTGGCAGGGTAAGAATCATCTTCAACTAAGACAGTTTAATTTTTCTAAAAAGGTGGCTGGCCTTTGGAATGGGCTACCTTCAAATGTGGTAGATGCAGTTAATTTAAGGAAAGGCTTAAAAAAAACTTGAATGACAAGGGTTGTCTTTGTTGATTTCTTTTTACTTTAGAGTTTATAGTTGGATGGGACATCCTAGATGGATGAACAAATCCCTTGTTGCCCCTAAGTTATATGTATGTATATATGTATTTTTAACTCTTTTCAGTTCAAGGTATCATGTGCAATTTTAATATCAGCATACAATTAATCTATCAGTTGTGAGAGGTTGTGTCATAAATCTTCAAATACAGAAATAGCATACAATTCAAGTCTAGTGTCTCTTACATTAATCATCTATGCTGACACTAGACATGAAATTTGTTTTAGGAGAAAGTTTTACAATGAGCAATCTGATCTATGTTTGAAGTAAGGATCAATTGAACCCTGAACTAGTTACATGCCTTCAAGTTTACCACTGAGTCACTGGGGAACCTGAACAAAAAGACTGAAACATGAAAAATCCTCAAGATTATAGACAAATGTACTATACTTATATTTATGGGGAAATAAAATCTATTGTTTCTGTTTCTTTTTAAATACTAATATAAAGTAACCATAACATTACAACATGTAAACCTTCCTAACTGAAATCTTCATCTCAAGAATGCAAGTTTTAGGTGTTTTTTTGATGAACATTTCTTCCACAAATGCAATTTAAAATACTAAGTCTTGTTTTATTCATCATTGTACACTGGGTACATTGGATATCTATAACGTAATAATAACAAAACAGCATTTAAGTTCAAAAGTTTTCTTATATACTTATCTAAAATTAAAGTTTTGAAGAAATATGTATAAAATAGTTAAAAACTGATCTCCGTGATGAATAAAACTGTATCTTGTATCAAAGCAATAAAACCAACATGTTTTCAAGCATGAAGATTGCAAATCTGAAGTTTAAATTTACATTAGATATATCATCTGATAAATAGGGAACACTAAACTTGTGTTTTCATACCATTTTTTGACTTTTTAAGACCTAAAATACACCCCCTTGATAACCCTATCACTTTTGGAAAGAGGACTTTCTTTCATCACAGGTGGCATAATGATCAGTTACCCCTGATAAACGAAAGTCCCATTCCTAAAGCACTCAACTTAATGGCTTTCTTTTCTGATGCTAACTTTTTATGTTAATCTTCCATGCTTTTCAATTAAAATATATTAGACACAGTCGACGAAACTCAATTAAGTGGTAAGTTTTAACTTTAACTTTAGAAGTTTAAATTAAAGTGAGGTGGGTAGTTCATAATGTAAATGGTAATAAATAGTGTTACTTCACTGTTAGTGTTGATACTGTTATTAAATTAGTGTTACTACTATACTAGAACCAAATTAAAAATACCCTAGACTTAGTATTAATTAAGGATATTTATTTAACAATAAGAAGATGCAGCTATCCTACTCCAGTCCTAGCTCAGCCTTAGTATATAGTAGTACTAGTATTGTAGCTATTACTAGCAGTACTCAGTAGTAGTAGTACTAAGTACAGACTAACTCAACCTGTGATATAATAATTCATATCATTAAATTAGCTCCAAACTAATGAAAACTAAAAAAGAAGCCTACTATTTCTATGTCGAAAAACTCGCTGATTTACAGACACACAACACTTACGCCCTCTCTCTCTATTAACGAATATAATTTCAAATTGCTCATAAAATATTGTAAATCAATAGGTCTAAAATCTGTGATAAAAATCATGTTAAATGCATACGCTTTTTCCATATTCTTCTTTCTTCGTCTATTGAAGATTCAACTGAGAGGCGTGTGAAAATAGCATTTTAGATCTTTTTCTCCTCTCCTTGGAGTCATTGTACAAGAGGCTTTTCGAATAAAACCAGAATTCGTCAGTTGGCGTGGGCGTTGAGTTTGTTTGTTTGTAATTACACATAAAGCTACACAATGGGCTATCTGTGCTCTGCCCACGACGGGTATCGAAACTCTAGCGTTGTAAGTCCGCAGACATACCGCTATTCCACTGGGGGGCGGACGTTGAGAGAAAAACGATTCCCTGAAATTCTATTTTTATATATCCAATACAATACTTTAAAACTTAAAAGTTCCAGTTTAAACATCGTCACTAATTAAATTAAAGTCGCATAATAACCTTCCCCAAACAAACATTAAAATCAAACTAAAAACTCCTTGATTACGATAATATTTGGTACAAGGTTCGCCAATATGATTCTAGCTGTATGCAAGTGCCTTCATTGAGGTTTGGATGTTTACAGTATTATGGAACTGAAATTCAGGGCACCTCCTACTTACACATAAATAAACGCCCTACCTGGATCCATATATTGCTTGTTTGTTCATTTCAGAATGTTTTGCACAGCTACACAAAGTGCTCGAATTCAAACTAATGGAATAAAGTTTCGAGAAAGATACTTCTCTGACTGACTTAAAACTTTTTTCTTATCAAATTGAATTATTTAAATCTTAACCTGGAGACAAAGCAACATTAAGGCATGTATACACATATACATGTACATTTCATTACTATTCTACCAAGGTATTAGAAAATCAATGAAAAACAAACTTGGCAAAAATGTATTAAATAAGAAAGTGAAATCTTTGAAGTGATATTAACAGACTTACTTATCAATATTTTGTATATTGTTTTTTCTTTCACATTTTTTAGTCATTGTGTAGCTTTGTGTTTAACAACAAACAAAACCTTTAAACCAACTGTAGAAAATTGTTTAAGATTGAATATTTAAATCAAATATAAATATAAAATTCATAATAACTATAATGTTAGAAATGCAATCGTAATTAGTTTTCCATTTCTAAAATAAAATGATATATGAATAATAATAACTTTTAATTTTATAAAGTTAATTTGAATATTAATTTATTATTAAAAAGAGTTTGGTTCAAATTTCGCTCAAAGCTACACGAGGGCTATCTGAGCTAGCCGTCCATAATTTAGCAGTGATAGACTAGAGGGAAGGCAGCTAGTCAACATTACCCACCGCCAACTCTTGGGCTACTCTTTTATAAACAAATAGTAGGATTGACTGTCACCTTATAACGTCCCATAGCTGAAAGGGCACGCCTGTTTGGTGGGGCAGGGATTCGAACCCTCGACCCTCAGATTGTGAGTCGAGATACTTAACCACCTGGCCATGCATTAAAAAACGAGTGGCAGTTATGGACAATTTAGTATAAGGTTTCTTTGTAATTTATTTGAATGTTCACGTATAAAATAAAATAAAGAAATGTCACTACATGTCGAATGCGTTACATAATTTGGTAATAGTTCTACTGTATTTTTAGTTATCTTTTACTCGCCATACTGAACCTGTATTTGTATAGAGTATGAAGTATATGTAACATTGATGGTACTATTTTTTTTCTAAATTACTCAACAGCCTAGCCGTTTATAGATATTAAAAATAAATATGAAGCCTAATCTTTCATTTGGTTCACTACTTGTCAGGAAGTTATACCGGTTTGGGGGAATTCCGCTCCTCATCATTAAACTCGAACAAGGGAAAATTCTTGGTAATAGTTAATTTATGGAAAAAAAGAAAAAGAAAGTGAAACAGTTGTTGTCGCCACCTATAGAATTTTCGGCCAAAGCTATACATGGTCTATCTTTACATAGCCGCCCCTAATTCTGAACTCATAAACTAGGAGGAAGGTTGTTAGCTAATAGCACTCACCGCTAACTCTTGTCTCGACCATCACTTTTAGAGCGCACATTTTGCGACAACAGGAGAACCATAGATTCTCGAATTCATAGTCTGGTATGGTGTAATCACTGACCCATCCAAAGTCGCTAAACAAATTATTTTTATTTTATATAAAATATACATATGTACTTAAATTCAAAGACTTTGATACATGAGATTAAGAAATTATACAATTAGTTTTTCTAATACTTTCAGTTGCAACTTTTTTTAGGAGATAAGCCTTTGTTTACACTCTCAAAATGGAAGGTTTAGGTGTAGTTCAAATTTTCCAATTTAAGAAGATACACTGAGATTACGATCATTTTCTTTTCACGCATTTATTCTTATAGATAAGTTTTTTTACTTGAAGAAAGTTAGACAACAGTAGTGTGTTTTTATCCACATTTTGTTAATAGAACACAACAACTTGAAGGAAATTATCAAGAACTTGTCAAGGTCAGCTATATTATGAAAGTTATTTATTTAAAATAAGGATCTGGTTCACGGGCTTAGCACGTGACGAAATAAACTTGTATATCCAGTTGCTGACGCAGTGAAATATGACTATCCTGTACGAAAGTTAGACAGTTTTGAGGTAACCTAACTCACTAGCAAGAATATCACAAGTAATTTCACCTGAGAAAGATGTTTGGCTTCGTATTTTGGGCGTTATTTCTGTGGGTTACCAGTGCAAAAGTTGACAACGATGTAAAGGTAAAAGATTCCTTAAAGTAAAAATATTTGATGTTCGTAAAATATTACCGACTTTTTGGTTCTATAAGATTAATGCACCTCGTATTTCCACAATATCTGTGATAATAATGTCTTTGTTTAAATACATATATGTATATACCATATTCGGACTGATTTACAATTTCATACATAGTGTGTGTATACATATATATAATTTCAATACAGTATCATCATTTTGTGTGTATAAGTATTGCAACAGTATTATATACAGTATAAATAATATCAGTGTCACAGTTTAGGCAACGGAAACATGGGTTAATGAATGTGCAGTATTACGATTCTAATAAGTTCTAAGAAAATTGAAACATAAAAAAAGGTAATTATAACAATAAAAAAAATCTGTCCATGAAATGACACAAATAGTTGATTTTAAAATGGAAACATAAAAGAGATTGTCATAAAAACATTCATGTTCTGCCACTAGTTCTGGTAAATCAGTCGTTCTAGAAAGTTCACTGAAACACAAATCGAAACTGAGAGTACAAAGCTCAAGATTCCAGACAGACATACTTCAAGAACAAAATCTTCTTCAGGGGTGAAAAGAAAACACTTGAATAAGCAATTCAGGACTTAGTAGACTGTGATAGAAATAGAAGCAAAGATGAACAGGTGGCCTCTAAAATAAAATAAAAAGAGAAAGCTCTGGGAATTACCACTAACTGAGCTATGTAACCTTGAAATTAATAAAGTATTGGTGAAGGGTTGTTCATGTTTTATCTTCACTACGTAAAAAACTTCATGAAACACAATCGTCACCTCTTGAATTTTGTCAAAGAATACCCTACTTCAGGACCTCGAGCCCGATGGCCCCGCGTCACAGACCCTCGCGCTTAGTGTTCACTGGACACACACAACATTTGAAGGTTTGTACTGTCAGTTTCGGTTTGTGTTTCATTTAACGCTCTTGGAGAAGCGTAAAGCGAAATATTGAGTGTTTAATTAAATAATAACAACATTTTCGTGTTATAAGGTCGTTTATTTCTAATATAAATATGTTTTCTAAACACCAATATGCACTACAGAAGTTAAATAAATCAGTCGTTCTGTTTAGGACATCAATAACAAAAGGAATAACGACTCATTTGAGTAAGGAGGCACATTATGCTAATATAATAATAGATATTTGGTAAGCAACAAACGATTTATAAGCAGAAGGAAGAGTTTTATTGATGGTTATGCTTATAAATCGTTGTTTGTCTAATTATTATAATAACGACTCACTACACAATGAATTGAAATTATAAAGAGCCATCTCACGGACGAAAAGGTAAAAACAAAAATCATCAAATTTTCAAAAATAATAATTTAATATATCTATTGAATGTGTGGCATTTTCAAGCGACCACGCTCACAGACAACTAAATTAAGTTTCGCAAAAGTAGGGGGAACGATAAGACAATTCTGTAGAGTAAATAAGTCAAACAGAACAGTGACGTAATGAAATTAGTCACAGTTGTTTAAAATAACAAGAAGAACGTAATCTTTATTATCATACTACAACAACTAATGTACATGGAGTTCTGTTCCGAATTTACAGATTTTCATTACTAGATTACAACGATTTAGTCTGGCCTGATTTTTGTTCTGTTTGAATTATCAGGGTTAAACATCTACGGGATCTTCTTTGACCAACCTGTTCACATGACAAAAGTTGCAGGAATTATATTTGGCCAAACATTTTACAAGTAACTCAGTTTACTACCCATAAATCCTAGCTATACACGCCTTCTGTTAGTCTCAATAGAAGTTTTAGGGAAGACAAGTCTTCTCGCTTATTCTCTTCGTCCAGAACAGCAACCTGTGACCATTGTCTGTGACCAAGCCACACAGTTACAAGTTTTAACTTGACCTCAAGATCATAAGACAGAAACATAAAAAAATTTAGATTCATCTTTATTGTGTCCAACTTACAAATTAAAGTTGGCTACATGAAGACGCTAACTAAATGTTAAATACAGAGACTTTTTGGGAAAAAAAACTTAATATCAATATAAACGTAAATCAAATCACGACACATATCTCCAGAATATAACTTTATTAGCTCAGTGTTTCACTATTACTGTGCCGTGAAAACTTATAAGTGTAGTGAGTGTTGGTATAATAAACTTAAAGTAAAAACCT